ACATGGGTTAAAATGGTCTGGGGTTCTAATAGCTGATAGTGTAGGTTTTAGGTTAAAATGTTCATATTCCCATCAACATAAGCGTATTGGGGATGGGGGGACTAATGGGGTGTGGTGGGTGTAACTCTTTCCTTTCTGCCATTGTAGTTAGCTTGTGGGGTTTATATATTTTGGAGTAAATTTTATATTCATTTGCTCTACGCATCTTCCCATCATTAATGGTTAATAGGGTTGTGGGGTCTGTCAGTTGATAAGTTAGGTTTTGGGTAAGTGTTTAGAGTTTGTAACATCATTTTCCCATCTTTTTAGGTGTATTGTAGTGGGAGGGGGGCTTAAGGGGGGAGTGTAGTATCTTTGTCCTTTCTTTTCTTGTGGGGTTTAGATTTTGAGTTTATTTCATTATCTGCCCATTATTTATGGTTAAAAGGGAGGGGCTCCAGTTAAGTGATAGGTTAGGTTTTAGGTTAAGTGTTAGAGGTTTTGGCAGTATTTCTCCTTATCTCCCAGGTGTATAGATATTTTGAGATTTAGGTAGGGTAGGGTCGTCATGTTTCAGGTTCTTGTATTCCCACTTTCTCTCCCTTTACATGGGTTAAAATGGTCTGGGGTTCTAATAACTGATAGTGTAGGTTTTAGGTTAAATGTTCATATTCCCATCAACATAGGTGTATTTGGGAGGGGGGGGGCTAAGGGCGAGGGGGAGGTGAGGTTCTGGGGGTTTAGAGTATCTCTGTCCTTTCTGCCATTGTTTCTGTCCCCAGGGATTGCGCTCGTTAGGTACAGTTTAGGCCCCGTATTATCTAGAAGGCTGTGCTTTTTCGGTGTGTGCAGTCAGCTTTCTAGAAAATGTTTATCCCTTATCTGTGTTAAAGTCATTTCATTGACTGGTTCTGGGGGTTCCATTGGGGTTTTAGAGTCTTGTTTATTTAAAGTATTTCCTTGTATTTCCCCATTATTAGTGGTTAAAAGGGAGTGGGGTCCATAAAAATGATAGTTTTTGGTTAAATTGGATATTTTGATATTTAGTTTGGGGAGGATTGTCATGTTTCAGGTTCTTGTATTCCCACTTTCTCTCCCTTTACATGGGTTAAAATGGTCTGGGGTTCTAATAGCTGATAGTGTAGGTTTTAGGTTAAATGTTCATATTTAGTAAATTTTAGTCATTTGCTCTAAGCATCTTCCCATCATTAATGGTTAATAGGGTTGTGGGTCTGTCAGGTGATAAGTTAGGTTTTGGGTAAGTGTTTAGAGTTTGTTACACCATTTGTCCTGATTCCCATCTCTTTAGGTGTATTGTAGAGTAGTTAAGGGGGGGGGGGGAGTTGATAGTTTGAGTTTTGTTTAATTGGATAATTTGAGGTCTACATTCAAATTCTTACATGTAATTAAGTTGTATAATAATGTGAATAGAGTTTTCCCAAATTTCAAATGCTTAGAAAATGATGATATTGTACATGAATTCTTTTTTTCTTTAGTGTGTTTTGATAAGAAGGCATTACAATTACTCTAGTCTGCCCTGCCCTTACTGTTCATTTGAAACATGTCCAGTTATTTTCTTTCAGAAAGACTGCATCATTGTACAAGAGATGCTTTCACCAATGTTCCATAGAACAGGCAACTCAGCGCAAACATTCCCATGGACATATTTCATTCTGCACTACTGTTTCAGGTAAAGAATATTGTCTCTTCACATCAGTACTCTTTATTAGCTCAATGCAAAAGGGCTACTACAGAGTCCCGAATTCCGGATTTGGTTCGTTAATTATGTTGCACTTTTAACTTTCAGTTACAACCCAAGCTTGGATATACATAATTCCGATGACTATGCTCAGTAGGCCATTTACCAGTAAATTTTTAGTGCAGGTGTAAACAATTTATAGGGAGTTGTCTTGACAAATCAAAGTTTGAAGTCAATTTAAAATGACTTCCGATAGAAGTAGATTGTATCAAAACCAACAGGAACAGAATGAACCAAGATAGGCAAGAAAAAGAGAATATTTAATTATGATTGATTGATTGTATGTTGTTTAATGTCCCTCTCGAGAATTTTTCACTCATATGGAGACGCCACCACTTGCTGTCGGAGGGATACAAATTTTTCCTATGCTCGGCACTCAGGGCCTTTGAGCAGTGAGGGATCTTTTTCGTGCCAGCACCTACTGCAACATGGGGCCTCGGTTTATATGGTCTCATCCAAAGGACCGGTCTCAATGTCCCAAAGTGGGATTTGAACCTGCGAGGTAAGGATTGACTCCTTACTTCGCGACTCTAGAGCAGAGGCTCTAACCACTGCGCCACGCGGGTGACTATTTAATTATGTATATATCAGTTAAACTTTGAATCTTGGAAAACAACTTTCATACTATGAAAAAAGGGAGCTAAGATGTTGTAGGCCTGACTGTACATTTAAGACATGCACTTGTTAATTAAATTACATTGTTATTAAGAGAGAGAAAAAAACTTCAAACCCACGACTGGAACATTTTCAAATTTAACACAAAGTTGACTTTCTTTTAAAAAAAAAAGTACACTTAAATCAGGTCATTACTGAATATTGAAACCTTGAATGCACTTTTTTAACATGAAAATTTAATATATATTAATTTTTTGTCATTGTAAGTTAAAGCCTTTTTTAAATAAAAGAATTCTTAATAAACAAATACTTGTATATATGTAATTTAATCATGTTGTGAATGGTGTTACGCGTTATGACCAGATTTTTTACTTTCCAAATCTGGTCATGACCAGATTTTTTTATGGCAAAGGTTGGCAAATATGATCTAGGTCAAGTTCTGATTTGGTTACGATTGTGCCAATTTAATTTTTTTTTAGAGTTTTCCCCCTTGGACTTGGAAAAAATTCAATTTAGAAGAGGGAGGCATAAGTGTTTTACAAACATCTCATGTTCTATTTATTCCTCTTATTCTATGAACAAATATGTTGAATTTCTTTTAAAAGAGATTTTCCCATCTACCTACTGACCCTATATTTTTACCCTGAGTCAGGAGAGGGCAACCAAACATTTTCTTTAAAGATGTCCTGATCCAAAAAATTACTTGTATCAAAAATTTTAGTAAAGATCTAGAACTAAATACAGTCAATTTCAGCACTGTTACTTAAAGTGCAATATACATGTATATGCGTTCTTGATTCAATCATTTGTGACATTATTGATATAAAAAGAACAAACACCTAAATCAAAATTTTATTTTGGCTTCCTATCGTGAAGACTATGAATGTACTTAGTGAAACTCAAAGTCAAACTCTGATACAGAACCCAAACTCAGCAAGATCCATGCCTCTACAGTGGTGTGCAGTTTGTGAAATTTATTCCCCATATTGCTCCTAACAAAGGGCAATTCAAACATTCAAGGCTGATAGAAACGGTAAAAAATTGGGTTCAGTCATTTAAAAATCAAGGGTAGCTAGGAAATTTAAAAGTTAATTGTGGAATACACCTGTAGCTGGATTTTTGGCATGGCGTATAATGATGATAAGTTTTAGTTTTATAATGATTTTCCCATGCATATCATTGTCAAAGTTATTAGGCATAAAGACGATATCAGGGAACTCAGAAGCAACCTGCAATGTGAAACAGAGGGCCTTCTTTTTGTTATTTTTTTTCCTTTTTTATTGAAAATTAAATCCACTAGATCTCAACACAAAATTTTGATTCAATACTAGAAGTACTTTTTTCAATTTTGAGTAGTCCCAATCTTAATTTTTTTTTTATTCTTCTAAATACAATAATATTACATATGTTTATCCTACATCACCTTGCAGGATGATCATATGATAATTTAACACATAATAATTAAATCCAAAAAAATGTACATAAGTAATGATAATTATATTGTTTTGTTTAAACAACATTATGTTAATAATGGTGTTTTTTTTAAATATCTATAATATGAGCAATTGAAAAAGTTGAAATATTAATTTTACATTCAGAAGAAAAGAAGAGTATATGAATACACATTCCCATGTTGTTTAAAGGGGAGATCACATAGACTGGCTCAGTCCTTGGGTTCCCCTTCAGCAGCACTACTAGGGGGACTGAAACTGCCAGTAGCAGGAATTATTAAACTTAAAACACTAAACTCTTAATGACAATTGTATTATTGATATACATCTATGTATATTTGCATATAAATACAATTTACAGTTAGCAATTTTGTAAACTTATCAAAAATATGTACATTTAATAGTGAATAATTACAAAATTTAATTACTTTACACTAGAATACTTAGTTATTTAAGTGCTGGGAACATTTTTGTTTGTATGTACCATATGTTTTCTTCATTGTTTCATTAGGAGGGATATTGAAATCTTTTTAAGAGACACCAAAGACATCAGTTACCAATTTTCCCCATACTAAGGGAATGGCACCTTGATCCTGACACTATTTTTAAAAATAAACCAAAAAATGAAAAAAAAAATCATTTATTAACAAAAGTTGTAGTATAAAATGCAAGTTTTTCATTGACTATAATAACATAATGCTGTCTACAATTTCTAATTTTTAGTCTCATAGGTTTGGTATAACTAGTCCGGATGATTGTTTCATTTAAAAATTGTGGCTTTATAGTTCTTTGAAATGCTCTTTTGTTCCAACTCAAGGGGCGGAATTACTTAAGTACTAGTATAGAAATTAGTGGGGGGTTAAACATGTATACAGATAACCCACACTTATAACAAAAGAAGAAATCATACCTAACTATCATATAATGGTACATCTAAGGATGCATACTACCAGGGTTGCATCAGATCCTGGATGTGACATTTTCCAGATGAGTAAACAGGTTCAAGTTTTTGGTGCAGGTTTCATTCCCAAGTAACCATGAGGCCTATGATGATCAAACTTTCATGGATGATACGTCTAAAGTTGCACATTATGAATCTTGCATCTAGATTTTCCTGATGAGTGATCTTGGGATGCACACTTCTAGATTATTAGTTTAGCTCTGTAATATAATCTCTGATTATTTATGTTTTATAGCTGGATGATGACATAATTCAGATTGCTGACACTTGTTGGAAGGATCCCTTTCAGTCGCCTACAATGTTCTGTCCACAAGAAAAACCAGCCACTTGTGTTACCGGACTATCAGGCAAGGATGGAGTCCTTAATGGAATCGGTACTCAAGTACACATTATCTGCTTGTAATGGACTTCACAAAACAGCACTCAACAGTGCTCAAGTACAAACTGTATCAAACTTTATTTTTCACCTTAGATTAAAACATTTAGTATTGGTAATTTTATCTCAGTACATGCACTCATAACTGTTAAATTTTGATTGAATAAAATATTACTTGTAATATGAGTTTTTTTTCTTGGAATTCTTTGAAACAAGGCCATTTTTAGCTCATCAGCTGACATGTAAGCTTTACTGATCATCCATGGTGTGTGCCTGTATTTGTATTGGCATTTTCACAAGCCCTCTGAATTTTTGAGGTTGAAAAAAGGAAATTTATAAATTTCATGACATTGTGCTGATTCTAATTGATTCAACTCATAGGCCCTGGTGGTAGGTTTTGAATCCAAAGATTTACTGAGAATGTAAGAAAACAGGAGACACACAGGCCACACCATTACCTGAGTAGACATGTTTTCATTTAAGAATATTTTTTAAAAATTGTGGCTTTAAAAAAAAATCTTTTGTTCCACATGGTGCATGTACAACCCATTTTTAAGTTCCCTTAGAAATTAGTGGGGGGTTGAAAATACAAGTAATACAGATAACCCACACTTGTGTTTTAGAAGAAATCATACCTAACTTCATATAATGGTACATCTAAAGTTGCATACCAGGGTTACACTGGATGTGACATTTTCCAGATGAGTAAACAGGTTCAAGTTTTTGGGGCAGTAACCATGAAGAATTGATGATTCAAACTTTCATGGATGATACACAAAAGTTGCACATTATGAATCTTGCATCTAGATTTTCCTGTTATGCACACTTCTAGATTATTGTTTAGCTCTGTAATATAATCTCTGATTATTTATGTTTTAGAGGGATGATGACATAATTCAGATTGCTGACACTTGTTGGAAGGTCCCTTTCAGTCGCCTACAATGTTCTTTCCACAAGAAAAACCAGCCAATTGTTTACCGGACTATCAGGCAAGGATGGAGTCCTTAATGGAATCGGTACTCAAGTACACATTATCTGCTTGTAATGGACTTCACAAAACAGCACTCAACAGTGCTCAAGTACAAACTGTATCAAACTTTAATTTTCACCTTAGATTAAAACATTTAGTATTGGTAATTTTATCTCAGTACATGCACTCATAACTGTTAAATTTTGATTGAATAAAATATTACTTGTAATATGAGTTTTTTTTTCTTGGAATTCTTTGAAACAAGACCATTTTTAGCTCACCAGCTGACATGTAAGCTTTACTGATCATCCATGGTGTGTGCCTGTATTTGTATTGGCATTTCCACAAGTCCTCTGGAATTTTTGAGGTTGAAAAAAGGAAATTTATAAACTTCATGACATAGTGCTGATTCTAATTGATTCAGCTCAGTAGTAGTGGTAGGTTTAACGGACAATCCAAGATTTACTGAGAATGTACAGAAAACAGGAGACACACGGGCCACACCATTCACCTGAGTAGACATCAGTTTATCATTGAAAAGATAAGAATATGTCATTAAAAATACCCACCCTGTTCCCTTTTTTCCTGGAAAGGGGCGTGATTTATCCACACTGTGATCTACACTACCCAAGGCAGCTTTCATATATCTTTTCTAATCATGGCTTTAATTGCTTTTTTAAAATGTACATTTATTGTGGCCTTGCACTAGCCCCAGGAACATGCTTTAAAGAAATATGAATATACCTTATCTGGGGATGCTTGAGCATCCACAGGGAGATACATACAGTATTTGTTCAAATCATTACCCCTGGGGCTAGGATGGGGCCATAATAAGGGAAGGTTTACATAGAAATATTTACATCTAGGATATAACATTTAAAATCTGAAGAACTTCAAATTCAGGTGTTCTCAAGTAGTGTAAATTCAAGTTTGTTTAAATCCTGGCCCTTGGTATTGGAAGGAGCTACAATGGATGATTTTTTGATTAGTTCTGCTTATAAAAAATTCTTTTTGAGAAGAGTTAAGCAATTATTAGACTTATTGATATGGAAACCTTCTCGAGTTCTTTACATTTAAGAGGAACCCTAATTGAAGTTAAAGATTAGAATACATGGGATAAATCATTAAAAATCTTCCTAAGAACAGCAAATCTATGAAAGTCATATTAATTCCTCCAAATACATGTGCATATATCAGTCACTGCTTATAGTTTTTGAGAGGAATGTTATTCTAGATTTTTCCGTTCATTTCTTTTTCAAAATTTGTTCCCTCCTTGAGACCCCACCTCAGCCCCAAGGGAGGATAGCATGATTTGATGCTGTGTATTAATATGGCCAATTATGGTTTTGCTGTTCGAAGAGAAGCTAATTTTTAAGAGATTTTTCCTATATATTTCTACGTAAAACAGTGCTCCCAATAGTCACTGGACCATGAAAAATCTTCCTGGGGAATAAATCTTCCTGGGGAATAGTAGAGATTCATAATCATTTAATCATTGCCCCTGTAGGCGCGGATCCAGAGAGAAGACGGCACAAGGCGTGCAGAGTGCTTCAAGCTTCAGATGTTATAAAATAATTTACATAAAATTTGTGAATTATTTAATTTCAGTTCTCATTATTGAAAGAACGAGGGCGCTTTTGATTGGCATTCGGCACGAATCTGGGCGTAATTGAAACGTGAAAATGTTATCGACATGTCACATGAAATTTTGATTTTTTTTATTTTATTTATTTATCGGGTTCCTGTGCAACAGGAAAGGATAATATTTTTCCCGAAATTGAGCTTTGATTTGCTAAAAAATAACTTGAAAATTGGCCAGTTCAGACATTTGGTACAAAAGGTAAATTTTTAAATACGTTTTTCTAAAATTTTTCTATCTTTGGGTCTTCTCTCCATGATTTTGAAACGTTATTTGTGTGTATTAACTATTTTAATTCAAAGAAACGAATACATATTTTTAAAAAATTGAGAGAAGACCCAGAGACCCCGAAAAATGAACTTTTCTCCAAAAAATCCAAATGTGTGAATGTGGTGCTTCTTTGTCCTTTATGAATCTCATAGATTTGAGTAGCGGAGATAGCTCAGTAAGTAAGGCTACCTGTTCAGTGCGCTTACAGTTATATGTTTTTTGGTTCGAGCCTGGCATGAGATTTATTTTTTTTAATGCAAACAACCATTTGTTTTGTCGTTTCCTTTTAGGCATTGATATATTTAAATTTTGAATATATTAGATAAATTTTGGCTCAGTTTGGTTCTCGAGCGAAATCAATTCTAATCTTCTATTCTATATTGTACATGAACACGTATCATGCACAGTGGCGGATTTAAGCCCCCCCCCCCCTAAAATTGTCAAAATTTACGTAAATCACAGTTTGGTCTAGAAAATGTAAATATGTATACTTGGTAGACCTCTTTTTTACACTTCAAAATCTCTAGAATCCAGGAGCTTCCGGGGGCTTCGCCCCCTGAGCCCCCACCAGGGCTTTGCCCTGGACCCACCATGGGGGCCTCAAGGCCGCCCTTGCCTACTTTTGGCGCCCCCTCTAACTTCAATTTCTGGATCCGCGCCTGATGCATCTATGCATTAAATATTTTAGGTGTTTATTTTTTGTGAAACATTACTCCGGGTATGTTTTAGTACCCCCTACGAAAAACGGACATAAATGTTACAATCTCACAAGGTCTTTCAAACTAAACGAGAACAAGCTAATTCAGAGAAGTTGTGTCCCCCGCTTAAGGAAAAAGTAAAACATGCGCGGTTCGGGGGAAGGGGAGGGAGTCGGATCCCCCTCACTGAATTTGTAGAATTATTAAATGTATACATGCATGTATACTGAAGCAAATAAAATATACCATTATGGATATAAAGATTTAATTGCTTATTCTTTATTATGTATATAGAAGTCTCTTTATATATTGAATATTGATCACACTGTAATGATGATTTTATGAGTTTATAGTGGTAGAGTCATTGTTCCTGGACATTTTCAGTGACTTCAAGTGGTCACCTGATCTCAGAGAAAGTATGGAGGAAATCTGTCTCATGCTAGGTGTAAAATTCACTATGCCACAACGTTACGTGAGCCATAGATGGCTATCCGTGTATGATGTTACCATGGACACACTTCGGATGTTTGATGCATTTGCCATTTTCTACTATTCATGGGTCATTTCCTTGGACTTTGATAAAGTTAAATATTTACCTGTTGTGGTGGAAGTTTATCATCGACTCAAAGTTCCAAAGGAATCCAGGCAGCGGATAAATGACATCATGACGGTAAGATTTGTAGTATTTTTCGTTGAGTTTTAGGGTTGCTGTTTAAATTTAAATGTCTTTTAGTTCTGTTGTTTTAGTTAATATTAATAATAACATTCATTTGTATGCATTTACTTAAATTTAACTGCATGGTGTTTCAAAGCATTTATTAAAAACATTTATTTCATACAGTTTACCAGAATTTACACCAGGTAGCAGATCAAAAGAATCAGGTCCTCAGTTTTGTTTAACCTCTTTGGTAAGCAACACCTGTCATGAACAATTTTTAACGTTTCTTGTCTATCTGCCCATCTATCTGTCCTAAACAGTAACTCCATCATTTAACAGTAAACTATCTCTGTATTCACAGCATGAATTAATTATTTGACAATAAAATGATCTGAAATCATGTCCAACATCCTCGGCATGACATCAATTTTCAAGGGGTTACAAATGTTAAGGTGACTTCAACTTTACTTCAGTGATAAATTATAACAAAGTTTGGAGCTCCAAAGCGACATTTTTGCCTCAGTCGTCCCTTAGGTTGGTCCTTGATCTCAAAATTACTTCTGCAAACTGAAAGAATTTTAGATTTAAAATGATCAGTTCATTAAGTATCAAGAACATTTGTAGGAACTAAAGAAGAAGAATCTAACAAAAGACGGCAAGGACAGGAAAAGGAGGATTGTAGAGAAGCTATTTGTGGATAGGAAAAGCATTAAGCTGATCCTCGGACTGTATTCATCTGTCCTACCCATGCTAAAAGAATTTGTCGTATTGTTCGAGATGAAAGAGCCCTTGATTCACCAGCTGCATGAACGACAGGTACCAGTATATCATTATATGTAACTTCTGTGACATGCAGTTGTAAAACGTTGCAATGCAAATAATACAATCATATTTAAATGTGTTTAAATGTTTTGAGATAATAAATTTTTTACAACTTTATGTTTACATTCATATTCATGCACAATTTTTATCTTAGAAATAAAGGTCTTATATCATTATTCATAAAATTTTATACAGATGGATTTGGTGAAAGAATTCTTTCTTTGTTTCGTGAAACCAGAGGTGGTTGTTGAGGCTTCATCAGGAAGCAAGTTAAAAGCCATTGATGTTACTTCCTCTAAAAACCTTATGTCAAGGGAACAGATATTCCTTGGAAGTAAAGCCAGGAATCTTGTGAGCAGTTCTTCAGCAGGAGACTACACAGTAAAGTGCTTCTTAGACCAGGTACAAAAAAATGCAAAGTCAATAAATTTATGAAAAATACTTTATTTACTTGAATAGCTGAGAAGTTTTTAGCAACAGTGTATAATGAATATGATCAAGCTTTAATGTGTTTTAATATGTGTATTGTAGAAGTGTTTTAGAAAAAAGTTTTTGAGATACCCCAAGCCTCAATCTTAATAAATTTAACTGTATTGTCATTATTGATATTCCCTTTGGGCCAACTTGAATCTGAATTTTACTTCTATTCTAATTGCACATAGGTGATAGAAGCTTATAAGTCCTGTGGGAAAACATTGACAGACAAGCTGCCTCTCACAAACAAATTCATTAGATCAGTTGCAGCAATCCACCCAGATGCAGGACATTCATCAGTTTTGAAGTTGTTATTAAATCTGCCTAAATTGGCCACAAACGTTCTAGATGATGAGGAACCATATGATAGAGACTGCCGCCGTTTCCAGGTTGATCAGCTGAAGGACATTGAGGATGAGGAAAGGATTGACCATTGGTGGGGAAATCCTGCATTATCGGAGAAATATCCATCACTTACAAGAATGGTAAAAGCAGTCCTTTGTTGTTTTCATGGACCACAGGTAGAAGCATCCTTCAGTTCAATGACGGATATCATTGACAACAAGTCCAACCGACTTAATGCCACAACTTTCAGTGCTATACAGACAGTAAGGTATGAACTTTCAGCATCAGGAAAGACAGCAGTACAATATTTCCAGAAAAAAGACTTTTTACATGAAAAAATTGATGTCAACCTGTGCAAAAACATGGTAAGTGTTTATTTTTTGAGAAACTACACCCTAGAACTTAAGAGAAAAAAGACATAAAGTTACAAAAGAACAAGGTTTGCAAATAAAGAGAAACACTGTGTCGAAAAGGAAAGCAAAGGAAACACTCACAGTGGCTTCTAAAAGGGCCAGAAACATTTTCTTTGAGAAGCAAATTGAAAAAGCCAAACTGGGTTAAATTAAGTGTTTATCTCTTGAATAAAATAAAGCTTTTATCTTCAATTTTGTGTCAATTATTTAAGTCTCTTTGGGGTTTACTAATGCTTAAATTCGTCCCCTCGACCCCCAACCTATTTCAGATATTTTAGCAAATTCACAGAATCATCACTGTTATACAAGCCATACCTCGTAATTTTTTCATTTCGCGTGCTGAATACTATTATTTAGTAAGAAAAAAGCATTTCTAAAATAGAGGGAAAAAAAGTGGTCCGTACGGGATTTAAACTCGGGAGCTCTCACATGGGAAGCGAGAAACATACCACTAGACCACGGAATCGCTTTACATGTTGTTAAGTATATGCAGAAGTGAAGTCACATACCTGTATATATTCACATCTACATCTACATATTACAGCGTTCCATCAACCCTGATGATTATACGCTGGCCCTGCGCAAACGGACCTCTAAATGTTAATTATAAAACGTTTGTGAAAAAAAAACTAAGTGCCATAGAAGGTATAAATAAACCTAGTGCAATGAAAAACAATTTACAAAATTGTGCATGAAAAATGTGTATTTACATTGTGTACTACTTGTTTATATAAATATAAGAGTTATGGGACATAGCTTGGGACCAGAGTTCTGAACTGGTCCAGAGAGGCCGTTGCCACCACAGCATGTGGGAGAGAATTCCACAAGGGAAAGAAGCTAAATTTATGATAATCTGTTCGTGTACTGAAGGTCTGAAAGTGAAGAGGACTAGTATTACGTGTAATGGTCGTTGTCTGGGGTACTAAATAAAGGCTTTGATCTATAGCCACTAATTTGTATGTAATTTTAAATAGCATTATTATATAAGTCTACATATATTTCTTCTATTGTCTAATGTTGGTCAATTTAGATGGTGTAACATATCTGAGACACTGCTAGTATTGTGATATCTATGTGTGACATATCTTGCAACTCGTCTTTGAACATTTTGTAGTTTATCTTTCAGTCTTTTTTTGTATGAGGTGCCCAAACTGAAGAACAGTATTCGAGGTTAGACCTGACCATTGATTCATATGCCAAAGATTTTGTTTCTTCATTTTTTACCTGCAAATTTGAAAACCCAGTATCTTATTTGCCTTAGAAGTTATATTATTAATATGCGGTTCCCAGGACATGTTGTAGGATAATGTTACCCCTAAATATTTTACTGTCTTTATAGATTCTTATGTGTGTCCTTTCAGATTATAGGTATATTTTGCTGGTGTGCAAGATCTGGTAATACTGAGTGAATTACATTTTTGAGGATGAAATTGCATTCCCCAGATATGTTCCCAATTAGCTAACGAGTCAAGATCATTTTGAAGAATTACACAGTCATTTTGATTATGAATGGGTCGATACAAGATACAGTCATCGGCAAAGAGCCTTGTATTTGATGTAACAGAAGATGGTAGGTCATTTATAAAGATTAAAAATACAAGGGGCCCAAGGACTGACCCTTGAGGAACCCCGCTGACCACAGGCATTAGACTGGATACCTCACTATCAAGGACAACCTGTTGTACTCTGTTGCTGAGAAAAGCAGAGACCCACCTCCAGGTGTTACCACGTATTCCATAGTTATCCAACTTTCTCAGCAACTTCTGGTGAGGCACCTTATCAAATGCCTTTGAGAAGTCCAGTATAATCAAATCAGTTTGAGTGTTTGAGTGTAAATTCTCCAATAATTCATGGCTGAGAGTAAGTAGCTGAGTATTCATGTTCGGTATTGTCAAAATTTTACACAATCCATGGTGTTTGATATATTTAGCCTTTATTAAGGCAGGTCCACCCTTTTACGGATCCGGTTTTAATTTTACACACCAATATAAAATTTTGATTATCCTTGTCTATTGAAATAAAATCTTTTTGGATGATTGAAAATGATTTACCAAGTATATATTTGTTTATTATAGTGTCATTGTGCACACAAAGCATTTTATGTACATTATTTATAGGAATAACCACTTTACACTCTGTCCATAGGATTTATATATGTAATGTAGTACATACACAGACAGAGAATTCTTAATTGCCGTTATGGACCTAAAGCTTTTATTTTTTTTTTAAACAAACTAACTTGAGATCTATTTATCTTTCATTTTTAGCCTATATCATCTTTTTAAATTTACTTTTTTATAAGTTTTGCGAAGAACGATTGAAAAGATAAATATTCCAAAAATGGGGGTATGGGTATTCAAAAGGCTGTTTTGTAAAAATTTTCTGGTCAACCACAATAAAGTATGTTTTTCTGCTAACCTAAGATATAATTCTAATAATTGTGAAGAAAAAATACCATATAAACATAAAAGATTTTGAGAAATATTTAAAATAAAGATATTTTGAGCTTTTTCTCTGAAAGATTTTGACACAATCAACATCAATTTTTTAGTGTTTTCAAATAGAAATTTCAAATATTTCCTTGACAAATGAATATTTATGATTTTCCTAAGTTTTAACAATAATTGGATGTGATTTGGTATACATGGCTAAATAAAATATGATGTTACACTTCTATATGTCGAATTTTGACTGCTGAAGTTTTAGAGGTATATACTCCGAGACATGTTGCATGAAAATTAACCTGCAAAGATATGTTTTTATGGGTATTTTAGTTAGATAATGACTTATTCAAGATTTTCAAATCAAAAAATAATGGTGTTTGATATATTTGAAAGCCTTTATTAAACAGTTCTTATAGATGTTATAAGAACATAAAGTCCGCCGAGAACCTGTTTTATACGCAATATTTCTCCTCATGCCTCATGCCCCTGTGCTAAAAATAGCGACATGTAATACTATAGCTACTAATAAAACAAACGGGGCGGGGCACATTGAGAGGGGTAAAAGAGGTCCTAGTGAGTTTTGGTATAAAATTACATTGCATATTAAATCTTTCTTGAAATATAGCCCGGAAATGATAATGTTACACACAGACAGAATGTATCAATTTAAGACTGAACTTTGACCTTTTGACCTCAAAATCGATAGGGGTCTTCATTAGGCCACAGGGAGTTGTTAAGTAAAATTTAACTGCAATAGCTAAAATGGTTCTAGAGATATCGTGTGGAAACGAAAGTGTTATAACAGACAGAATTTGCTTATTTATGACCTTGACCTTTTGACCTCAAAATCAACAGGTTTATTCATTAGTCCATAGGGAGTTGCTATGCTAAATTTCATTGCAAAAGCTCAAAGGGTTCCCGAGATATCGTGTGGTAACGAAAGCGTTACAAACATGATTATCGGGCCTAAAATATCATTTTTTTTAAATGTCAGCAAAATGTTCCAATGTAAAACTTGGGTTAATAGTGCCATTTAATTGCCCTTTCCCCGTTGCAATGATTTGAACAACTTAGAATCTACAATTTATATTCAATGCAAAATTGAAATTTGCCAAATTGACCTTATTTTTTTACACCATAGGGGGAGGGGATTTCAAAATTTAAAATATGCATTAAAATTTTAGGATGTAACTTTCAAATACAGGTACATTTAAATTTTTCTGGCAAGATTTTCTTGAGAAGATTTTTCCAAATGTTTAATTTCAATGTAAAATGTGGATGTACCCCCTCCCAGGATATGCCCTACTAACTTTTATGGCCAATTGGGTCATGATTTAACAATTTTTAGAATTAGATACATTACCGCAAACAGAAATGCTTATTCAAAACAGCACAAAAATCATTATTCCATTTGCCAATTGGTTCTTGAACTCTTAAAATTTTAAAGGATTTTTACCATTACAGAATTATTTTTATGTAAAAATTGGAGGCGTTTTGATTTAAAAGAAAAATCCCCAGGTTTTTATGAATTTGAACAATACATCCCATAAATTTGGCACAGTAGTCAAGGATGTTTCCAACAAGTTTAATTTTTTCCTGGCCCCCCGGGGGTTAACCAGAGAAACAAGTTAGAATTTCTTTTTTTTACAAGTTTGCCTGTAAAAAGAATAAAAGATTTTTTCTATATATTTCAACGTAAAACTTTTGATTCCCTATAGTGACCCCCATATGTATTCAATTCATTATAAGTCTCTGGAAAAGTGCATGTTCACGGGACAAGTAAGGAATTTCTATAAATGTTGCAATGTGTATTTTAAAGGAGAGTCTTCTAATAATTTAGAAATAGTAAAGTTTTCAAGTGACAATATTATACGATGGCTGTTAGATAAGACATACCGAGTCAGAAGAAGTTTTTAAAAGTCAATATACATGGAAAGTAAGCAATTTCAAAAAGATTTGTTGCAATGTGATTTGGGGAACAGATTTTTAGCTTCAAATATGCTATCCTAAAAATTAGTCAGCAAAAAAATGTGTGTTCGTTTTGAATTGTGACAATGCGTCTATCGATTAATTATATATATATTATACTTAGAAATGATTAAAAATATTCAAAAAGTAATTTTTGACACATATATTTGGACAAAACACGAGTTTCTTAGTTTACGGTTGCTATCAGAGTCTTGGCATTTATAGCAACGGTTATATCATATTAAACAGACTTATGGCAAAAAATGCTTAAGATGTACATTTTATATACCCCATATAGCATATGAAATACGTTGTTTACATGTACAATTGACTTAATTTAACTCAAGGACGTAGCATCGATTTTGAAAAAAGGGGGGATCAATCCTGCAAAAGAAATCCCCTGCATTCAAAAAAGGAAAGTAAAATTGTCCAAACCCGAAAATCCTATTTTTGTGTAGGATAATGGGGGGGGGGGGTCAAACTTCTTTCAGTACAATTTTTTTCATTTTATAATACCAAGGATACCCTTTTTTAATTGAGTACACTGCACCAAAAAGTGGATGGAGAACCCGCCTTCAATGATCATTCTCAGTGGTA